ATTCAATATTACCAAAATTAACCTCTACCAACTTAATTTTTACCATAAATGAAGTTTTTCGGAAGAACTCCACCTACTGAAAAAACAAACAAAATGCGCACCTCCTCTTTGAAATACCTTTCGAACAAAAGACGAATCATTTAAATTGGTTGAGAAACATAGGAGCAGTAGGGAGGAATAGATTTGTATGGGATTTCGTTAGCGTATTAATATATAGATAGTAGATGGTGAAACCGAAGCAGGCATTCACAGGCATATACGGAAATTGGAATAACTCGGCTCTGGAGCCACATATCGGACCCATTTTTTGCAGGTGTATTTCTATTGATGTGCAAATCGGACCATAAATGAAGTTTTTCGGAATAACTCAACCTACTGAAAAAAAAGTATTAAAATGCTCACCTCCCATTTGCAATACCTTTCGAACAAAAGAAGAATCATTCAAATTGGTTGAGAAACATAGGAGCAGTAGGGAGGAATAGATTTGTATGGGATTTCGTTAGCATATTAATATATAGATAGTAGATGGTGAAACCAAAGCAGGCACTCACAAGCATATACGGAAATTGGAATAACTCGGCTCTGGGGCCACCTATGTTAGTAATATGTATTTTGAATTTGAAGAAAATCGGACCATAAATGAAGTTTTTCGGAATAACTCCTCTCCTACTCCACCTACTGAAAAATTAAACAAAATGCGCACCTCCCCTTTGAAATACCTTTCGAACAAAAGAAGAATCATTCAAATTGGTTGAGAAACATAGGAGCAGTAGGGAGGAATAGATTTGTATGGCATTTCGTTAGCGTAGAATGAGATGAGGTGCGATGACGTGATAAGATGTGACGTGATTTTATATGATGTGATAGGATGTCATGTCATGTGTTGTCATATCCTCTGATGTCATGTCATATGATGTCATACCATATGATGTCATATCATGTGATGCCACGTCATGTAATGCCATATCATGTCATACGATGTCATATCATGTGATGTCATGCCATATAATGTGATGTCATATCATATGATATCATGTCACGTGATATCGTGTGATGTGATATCATATTATGTGATGTAATATATTGTGATGTCTCATCATATCATGTGATATTATGTGATGTGATGTCATGTAATGTGATCACATTCCATGTTCCGATTATTAAATCGGTAACCCTGTCGATAACTGTTTCAATAAAAATACCGATAACAATATCCATACACATATAGAAAAATACAATGATTATAAAATCGATTAATTCAGCGATAAATATAACAATCGTCAGTATCGATTATTGTACATATCGTTAACAATATAAATGACTAAATCGATAACAAAATCAATTATTTAATCGATTGTTATACCGATAACAATATCCATTATTGTATCGATAACAATATCGATTATTTTATTGATTATTATATCGACTCAATAGCGGTTATTTAATTAATAACAGCATCGATAACAATATCGATTATTTTATCGATAGCAATATCGATCATTATATCGATAAGAATATCGAGTCTTATATCGATAACAATATCGATCTTCATCCTCATCCTTTTCTTCATATTTATCTTTATTTTTGCATATTCCTCTTCACCTTTACCTTAAAGTGTTTAAATTTACTTTGATCTTCGTTTTTGCCTGTACCTCTTGGCATCTTTGTTTTTGTTTTTATTCTCAAACCGGTAAACCGTTGAGAACCATTTCCATGTGCATTATTCCCCTCGAATTTGACGATTTACTCCCAACCAACTGCCGCTAAAGAAGTTTCATTTCATAAATTCAAGAAATGTTCTTACCCTTTCAGTTACCCTAATTCTTATGTATCTGTCATTGTCTCCATTTTCGTCTTTATCTTCACTTTTGCCTTCTTTTTTATTTCTTCATCTTCATATTTATCATTATTTCAAAGCTTAATTTCAAATGTGTAGTGAAACAACAGGCGAAACATGTCAAATTGAACATGTTGCAGCAACATCTATACACAATTCGAAAATGTTTAAACGACGGTTTTGGCCGTAATTTTCAGCCAATTGTGAAACCATAAAAACTCTGCTCAACTACGGAAAAATGCCTTTCCAATGGTGTTCTTGGTTTTGAAATCGGTTCGGTAGAATCGCCAAACGAACGGAGACAAAATTTATGTTAGCGCATTAATATATAGATACTAATCAAAACGTAAAATATGCATTTTTAATTTAAGTTATTCGCCATTTTCTGGAACAAATCTATAGTACCGACCGTTCAGCTATGCAAATGCAGATCAATATAACTTTTTACGCTCATTTCAACCGTGCCAAAATTATTTGGCGCAAGTAAAAATTTCAGACGGTATAGAAAGCTAAAGTTAATTTTTATGATTTTTAAATATTAATACCTTATGAATTACGTAACCGAAAAAAATGAATGATCTTAAACATAATTAATTTACCTTTCAGTTGATTAACATCATTTATATGTATGCTATTTATATTTTTAAACCGAAACCACTAAAAAACGAACCAACTTTTTTTTCATAAAATAACCTTTTTTGAAAAAAAAACTGAATAATTAATGGTAAAGAAATGTATAGTATTTAGAAGGTACAAGTTTTTATCTTTAATTCAATATACATATTTTTCATGATCTACTTTTGGGTTTCAAGAATATAGTGATAATAAAAAACATAAATAAAGGAAGCAAATAAACATCTTATATTTTATTTATTTTTTACCTGCGCCAAATGAATTTGGTATCGTTGAAATCAGGGTAAAAAGTTCTATCAATCGGCATTTTGAGTTATTTTATAGCTAAACGGTCGCTATTCTAGACTTGTTCCAGAAAATTACGCAAGCGAAGGTGATGCCAACGAATATTTAGTATGAAGAATTTTTGGTTTTACTACTAACATAATTAGAAACTGTAGAGTGAGCAACATTCTGCATAAGTAAAGGAGCCAATTTCATGTGAGGTAGCGAGAAGACTTTTTTATTACAAAACCTTTCTATTATTGAATCATGGTTAGGTATTGATATTTAAATTCATTCCATCAATAATTTCAATTAGCATTTTATTATTTTCATTATACATATAACGTCTTGGTCTCTCCTGATAAAAAAATTTTGTTAGTTAGGGCCTTTCTACATTTCATCAACGATATATACATACATATAAATATATGTATGTACCAGCTACTCGCCCAGTCGGAAATGGTCATTCATAGACATGTACCCAAGAGTGTGTCNGGGTCATTCTTCATTTCAAAATGAGATTAAAATTAACAAAATTATAAAAATATGTATTTACCAGCTACTCGCCCAGTCGGAAATGGTCATTCATAGACATGTACCCAGGAGTGTGTCGGGCTTAGGTACAATTCATTCCATAATCAGTGGCGGATCTAGATTTTTTCAAACAGCGTCATTTTCGGGGTTTCCATATTAGCGATTTTAAAATAGTATTTTATAAAGCATGTTCATATTATCGCAATTTACATAATGCTGAAATCAAGTAATTTCGCCTTGTAAAATTTAAAAAAAAAATGCGAAGTTTGCGAAAATTCAACCAATTTCAATAATTTTCTATCAAAATTCTAATTTTTTTAATCAGATTTTTTATAAAAATTTTGGGCATGCATTTTTATAGCCAATTTAATTTCAGTATAGTAAAGTGCAAGTTCGAAGTTGCGTGTTTTCTTTCATATAAAATACGAGTGTTTTAAATTAATTTCAGTATAGTAAGGTGCAAAATTGAGACGGCTATAAAAATGCATGTCCAAAATTTTTCTAAAAAATCTGATTAAAAAATTAGAATTTTGATAGAAAATTATTGAAATTGGTTGAATTTTCGCAAACTTCGCATTTTTTTACAAATTTTACATGGCAAAATTACTTGATTTCAGCATTATGTAAATTACGATAATGTGAACATGGTTTATAAAATACTATTTTAAAATCGCTAATATGGAAACCCCGAAAATGACGCTGTTTGAAAAAATCTAGATCCGCCACTGATTATGGAATGAATTGTACCTAAGCCCGACACACTCCTGGGTACATGTCTATGAATGACCATTTCCGACTGGGCGAGTAGCTGGTAAATACATATTTTTATAATTTTGTTAATTTTAATCTCATTTTGAAATGAAGAATGACCCTGTATATGCATTTTCACTATATCACAAACTATTGTGTATAAATGTATATGCATCTCATATTACTTGACAAACTACTGTGTATAAATGTATATGCATCTCATGTTACTTGACAAACTACTGTGTGTTCAAACTACTGTGTACAAAATACTGTGTTCAATAAATTTCATTATAATCGAAGTAAGCTGTTTTCGTGTTCCTTTTCATTATGTTCTTCGGGTGTGTGAGCGAGGTAAAAGCATTTCGCTTTACCGAGTGTGCTTATGCGCGTCACGACAAAAACCATTAGTATTGAAAATGTGAGAAAGAGACGAAAGTATATGCACCGAGTTGTGTCTGGTGAATACACTAATACAAGAAGGATGAAGCGCATTTTGAACTGCGTAGGGCATTATGGTGAAAAGACTTGTGGAAGTCGGACGCGCATTTGTACACTGCGCTTTACTGGAGAAAACTATCTGATCGGATATTAATTAAAATTATGGAAACCGGCGTTTACATTAACGGCGCTCCTGCCACAACACCAACTTGCAACGAAATAAGTATCAATGGTATTTCTAATGGAGTGCCGTCATCAGAAGTGGGATGGACTCCCCCATCTTCATTGGATGCAAATGAGCAGTTGCGCCAAATATTGGAACAGCAAAATCGACAATTTATTGAACTATTCAAAGCGGTACAGTCACCACCAAAATCCACCAGACAGGGCGGAAGTATTACACTACCAAAATTTAACCCTGACGTTTTGGGTGTAGATGCGATTTCCTGGTGCTCAACTGTGGACGTAATAATGGCAGACAATCCTTTAGAAGGCAGTACACTTATTATAGCCCTCAGTAAGTCAATGGAGGGGTGTGCATCGCAATGGTTGTCTCAAATATGCTATGCGGGAATTACTTGGCAACAATTTAGAGAGTTGTTTGTGCAGCGATTTGGAGGTATTGAGACACCAGCAGCTACTATGATTGATCTATTCAATGGTCACCCAAATGATAATTAGTGCATCTCAGTGTATGCAAGTCGACTAGTAACCTCACTTATTCATAAATGGAAATCACTAACTATTGAGGAAATAGCTATCGCAGTGGTTCTTGCATATTCTGCTCGTTTTGACAACAGTTTGCAACGTTTGTTATTTAAAACGAGCATAAAGACCCGAAATGAACTCCAGCAAGAACTCAGAGCCTTTGCGTTTGGCAAAAGAAAGTTTGCTTTTGAAAATCAGCCAGAGTCAAAGAAACATAAACCATCGCCTTACCTAAAATGCCATTTCTGCGGAAAAGTGGGCCATAAAATCGCCGATTGCCGGTTGCAAAAAGATAAAGGCAAATCATCAATGAAATCAGGTCAATTTTCGGGCAGCTTGACAGCAGAAAAAGGTCGATCATCACTTATTTGCTTCAAGTGTGGAGAAGCTGGCCATATTGCATCAAAGTGTAACAAAAGCAGCAATCAGTATTCAAGCAATAATAAATCCGGTTTGGAAAAGAGAGTGGACGCATGCGAAGTAATCGAACCTAAGGGAGTACTGAGTCAATCTGGTGAGTCATATCAATTCTGTTTTGATTCCGGGGCTGAATGTTCGCTTCTTAAGGAAACGGTGTCGGAGAAATTTTCGGGAAAACGTATAAATAATACTGTATTTTTTAAAAGGTATCGGAAATACATCTATATGTAGTAATTTTCAAATCCTATCGAATGTTAAAATCGGTGATTATTCCCTCAAAGTTTTATTCCATGTAGTACTAGATAAATATTTAAAGCACGATGTTATGATTGGCCGTGAAATTCTGAACCAGAACTTCGGTATTATTATTACCGCTAATAAATTTCAAATTTTTAAAGAAAAGATAGCAAATACATGTACTAACAGCTCATTTACTCTTGATACCGACCTATCAGAAAATGATAAATCTCAGTTAATGTCATTGATGAGTGAGTATTCCCAATTCTTCATAGAAGGTATTCCGCAAACTCGTGTCACCACTGGTCAATTAGAGATACGGTTAATTGATCAAAGTAAAACTGTGCAAAGGCGTCCCTATAGGCTTAGTTCGGAAGAAAAAGAGATTGTTAGAAATAAAATAGCGGAGTTGATAAAATACAATATAATTCGCCCTAGTTGTTCTCCGTTTGCTAGTCCTATGCTACTCGTAAAGAAGAAAAACGGGGCTGATCGCCTTTGTGTTGACTACCGCGAATTGAATTCGAACACAATTTCCGATAAGTATCCATTACCACTTATATCTGACCAAATTGCCAGGTTGCGGGGAGCAAATTATTTTTCTTGTTTGGATATGGCGAGCGGATTTCATCAAATCCCTGTTCACCCAAAATCAATTGAACTCACTGCTTTTGTCACGCCAGAGGGGCAGTATGAATTTTTAACTATGCCCTTTGGACTCAAGAATGCTCCATCGGTTTTCCAACGAGCTGTGATGAAAGCATTAGGGGACCTTGCATACTCGTATGTCATAGTGTATATGGATGACATTATGATTATTTCCTCAACAAAAGAGGAAGCGTTTGAAAGATTAGAGGTGGTGTTGAATGTTTTGACAAAGGCTGGGTTTTCGTTTAATATTACTAAATGTTCTTTTCTAAAATCGAGTGTTGAATATCTAGGATATGAAATTAAAGCCGGAGTGATTCGACCCAACCCACGTAAAATTCAAGCATTAACAGCTCTACCACCACCTCAATCTGTTCACCAGTTAAGACAATTTATAGGGTTGGCTTCGTATTTCCGCCAATTTGTAGCAAAATTTTCACAAATAATGAAATCACTGTACTTTCTTGTCTCTAATAAAAACAATTTTATTTGGAAGTCAGAGCATGAACAGATACGACAGCAGATAATTTCTATATTGACAAATAAGCCAGTTTTAATCATTTTTGATCCGCAATATCCAATCGAATTGCATACAGACGCTAGTGCCGATGGCTATGGTGCTATTCTGTTACATAAAATTAACAATAAGCCACATGTTATCGAATATTATAGTAAAAGAAGAAGGAGAAGTCTCCTGCGGAATCTAGATATCATTCATATGAGCTAGAGACTTTGGCCGTCGTTAACTCGATTAAACATTTTCGACACTATCTGCAAGGGCACCAATTTGTTGTAGTCACGGATTGTAATTCTATCAAAGCATCGCGTACCAAAAACGATTTAACACCGAGGGTCCATCGTTGGTGGGCCTATCTGCAATCCTTTGATTTTGTAGTTGAGTATGCAGAAGGTAAACGGATGGCTCACGCAGACTTCTTTTCTCGTAACCCATTGCCCTCTGATAATCCGCCAGTTACGAGAATTCCAGAGAAGCATGTCAATCTTGCAGAAATTTCGGAAGATTGGCTCCTTGCAGAGCAACAACGGGATCCAGAAGTAGCTTCTATTGTTTGCAAGTTAAGAAATAAAGAACTTAACAGAGATGTGGCGAATACATATGAACTGCGTGCGGGCACATTGTATAGAAAAATACAAAGAAATGGCAAAACGAAATGTTTACCAGTTGTTCCTAGACTTTTCAGGTGGTCCGTAATTAATCATGTGCATGAGTCAATTATGTATTTGGGTTCAGAGAAGACACTTGACAAGGTTTATGAATATTACTGGTTCGATAAAATGTCTAAGTACGTTAGAAAATTTGTTGAAAATTGTATAACCTGCAAGCTATCTAAATCACATACAGGCAAAATACAAGCAGAACTGCACCCAATTCCTAAAGCTAGCATTCCATGGCATACCGTTCACATCGATATTACTGGCAAATTGAGCGGTAAGAATGACCTTAAGGAATATATTATCGTGCAAATTGATGCATTTACTAAATTTGTTTATTTATATCATACTATAAATATTGACAGAGAAAACTGTATTAGGTCCCTCAAGTCATCAATTTCACAATTTGGTGTGCCTACTCGTGTAATTGCTGACCAGGGTAGGTGTTTCGCTAGCAAAGGGTTCCGAGATTTTTGTTCCTCACAAAATATTAATTTACATCTGATTGCTACAGGTGCTAGTCGTGCTAATGGACAGGTAGAGAGAGTAATGAGTACGTTGAAAAATCTGTTAACAGCAGTTGAAACAAGCCAATGCTCTTGGCAAGATGCACTGGGCGAAATTCAACTGGCACTCAATTCCACGGTCAATCGGGTTACAAAGGCTAGTCCATTAGAGTTACTAATAGGTAAAGAGGCACGGCCGTTCGGTTTAATTCCAATTAATTTAGAAGAAAACAGAGTCGATGTTGATTTATTAAGAACTCAAGCAACTAAAAATATACAGGAAAATGCTTGTTATGACAAGAAAAGATTTTATAAAGGTAAAGCGAAAATTGTTAGACATAAAGTTGGCGATTATGTACTACTTAAAAATGAAGAGCGACATCAGACAAAATTAGATCCTAAGTTCCGTGGTCCGTTTTTGGTGAATGAGGTTTTGGATGGAGACAGATACATATTGAAATCTTTGAGTAGCAAAAGGACATACAAATACTCACATGAACACTTGCGTAAGCTTCCGGAGGAAAAAATTGCTAATGACTTAAACATGAGCGATGTTGAAAGTTCAATTGAGCCTGTTAGAGATGAAGACGTTGAAAGAGACGTTACTGGTGATGAAAACGTTGAAAGAGACGTTATTGGTGATGAAAACGTTGAAAGAGACGATATTGGTGATGAAAACGTTGAAAGAGGCGTTATTGACGATAAAGACGTTGAAAAAAAAGACGTTAAAAAAAAAATAATAATAATAATAAAATAAAATAAAATAATAAAATAAATAAATAAATAAAACGTGTTATGTCAGCTATTTCATTAAGACCTGATTTCAAAAAGTTTACTCCTAATAATAACGCTCTGTCACTGAAAGCTACCATATGAAACTATTATTTTTAAGTTTTGTTTTATAAACTTTTTCATTTACATATGTAAAATATTGTTTTGTTGTTGTAGTATTACACCCGAGGACGTGTGATAGTCAGGAAGGCCGTGTCGATGTAAACCAATAATTTTGTTAATTTTAATCTCATTTTGAAATGATGAATGACCCTGTATATGCATTTTCACTATATGACAAACTATTGTGTATAAATGTATATGCATCTCATATTACTTGACAAACTACTGTGTATAAATGTATATGCATCTCATGTTACTTGACAAACTACTGTGTGTTCAAACTACTGTGTACAAAATACTTTGTTCAATAAATTTCATTGTAATCGAAGTAAGCTGTTTTCGTGTTCCTTTCCATTATGTTCTTCGGGTGTGTTAGCGAGGTAAAAGCATTTCGCTTTACCGAGTGTGCTTATGCGCGTCACGACAAAAACCATTAGTATTGAAAATGTGAGAAAGAGACGAAAGTATATGCACCGAGTTGTGTCTGGTGAATACACTAATACAAGAAGGATGAAGCGCATTTTGAACTGCGTAGGGCATTATGGTGAAAAGACTTGTGGAAGTCGGACGCGCATTTGTACACTGCGCTTTACTGGAGAAAACTATCTGATCGGATATTAATTAAAATTATGGAAACCGGCGTTTACATTAACGGCGCTCCTGCCACAACACCAACTTGCAACGAAATAAGTATCAATGGTATTTCTAATGGAGTGCCGTCATATGTATATATCGTTGATGAAATGTAGAAAGGCCCTAACTAACAAAATTTTTTTATCAGGAGAGACCAAGACGTTATATGTATAATGAAAATAATAAAATGCTAATTGAAATTATTGATGGAATGAATTTAAATATCAATACCTAACCATGATTCAATAATAGAAAGGTTTTGTAATAAAAAAGTCTTCTCGCTACCACACATGAAATCGGCTCCTTTACTTATGCAGAATGCTGCTCACTCTACAGTTTCTAATTATGTTAGTAGTAAAACCAAAAATTCTTCATACTAAATATTCGTTGGCATCACCTTCGCTTGCGTAATTTTCTGGAACAAGTCTAGAATAGCGACCGTTTAGCTATAAAATAACTCAAAATGCCGATTGATAGAACTTTTTACCCTGATTTCAACGATACCAAATTCATATGGCGCAGGTAAAAAATAAATAAAATATAAGATGTTTATTTGCTTCCTTTATTTATGTTTTTTATTATCACTAAATTCTTGAACCCCAAAAGCAGATCATGAAAAATATGTATATTGAATTAAAGATAATAACTTGTACTTTCTAAATACTATACATTTCTTTACCATTAATTATTCAGTTTTTTTTTTGTGAAAAAATAAAGTTGGTTCGTTTTTTAGTGGTTTCGGTTTAAAAATATAAATAGCATACATATAAATGATGTTAATCAGCTGAAAGGTAAATTAATTATCTTTAATATCATTCATTCTTTCATCGGTTACGTAATTCATAATTAATCATATTAATATTTAAAAATCAAAAAAATTAACTTTAGCTTTCTAGACGGTCTCAAATTTTTACTTGCGCCAAATAATTTTGGCAGGGTTGAAATGAGCGTAAAAAGTTATATCGATCTGCATTTGCATAGCTGAACGGTCGGTACTATAGATTTGTTCCATGATACGCAAACGTCAAGCTGTGAAGTTCTACTTATTTGTGCCTTGATTGGTCTTTGTATTTTGCAAAGTTCATTGTGCTAATTTTGAGTAAAAGTTGCTATAAAAAGTGCCTACGAGCATCTAGTGTGATAATAACCGAAGCTAAGTGAAAGTTTTGTGATTTTTGTGGTTTTTATTAAATTTAATTAAATTTCACTAGCTTACATCTAATCCTGCCGAGTCATTTGTTGTAATCATTGTTGTTGTTATTCCTTTGTAGTTAACTGAGAT